AAACAAGTCACTTGGAATACATTATTTACATCCAGTGCTCTTTTGTGTACAAAATAATCCAGTCCACACTCTGACTGTAAGAACTGCTCTGACAACGCAAGACAATGTATGGGAACTGGTCCAGACTACCTACAATTCCCTCCCTCCCCACCTCCAGGGATAAGAGTTACATCCAAAATATGGAACTGAGAGATGATGTAAGAATGTCAATGAATCTTTTTGCACTCAGAACAAAACAAAGCTCGATATTTGTTAAGCCATTCCCCCAGAACTCCTCTCACAGATTAACTCCTATAAAAAAACCTGTGTATTGTCAATGCAAAACCAGTTGAAATTGCCAACCTTTAAATCAGATCTCATTATCACAGTAGCCATATAAACACCGAGAATGCTGATCTTAAAATTCTGTTCCACCTCAATATCTACTTCATGTACCACTAAAACTGTATTTTAATGAAACGTGTAAGAAGGAATCCACTCACTTTATTGTATACTTTTTCTGTTGCTACTACAAGGAAATCTTTACTTGCAATTTCAGATATTGATTTAAATTCATAAGGTGGAAGGTAAAAGGACTGACCTAATCAAGAATCAACTGGACCTGATCACTTTAGTCACAAGAAAGTGAAATGATTCAAACTAGTGCCCAATAAGCAATAGGGAAGGCAAGTCAGGGAGAGGGGAAAAACAGTCTTTCTTCTTTCTAACATGTAACAGAAATGTGTGAGAGGTCCAGACAAGTAGAACAGCACAGGGTACAGTGACACTTCAAAAACTTTATTAGATTATGACTTTCAAAATAAATTTTAAAAGTGTGCTTCCAGACCAAAAGAAAAAAAAAACCCCTTAATTTCTAAATGTAGTTAATTTGTGAGGTTCAGCAGGGGTGGGAGAGAAACAGCCAACACCTTTGGCCTAGATGTGCCTTCTACAAAGGACCAGCTCATTTCTCTCCTTCATTTGCTCATTTCTCCAACTCATTTGCCCATTGCACAGTATTTGTTTCCAGCTCTCCCAGAGGCAGGTGAACAGGTCTGTGAGCCACTAGTGCCAGGCATTGTTGGAGTGCAATCCTTCCAATCATCCATCTCAGAGTCACATTAACCATCAAAGATATGCAGAATTCAGTCAGTTGGTTAACACAGGCAGATAATGCAACAGATAAAAATGGCCTCAGGCACTGCAACTCTTGCTCCAAACCCAAGCTGCAGAATATGCCAAAAATCTGCTTTGGAGATGCAAAATAGTGAGAATTTCTCATTGAAGAAATGCAAATGGTATATTCAGTTTTCTTTCACATGCCTAGGTATCCTGCAGGTTTGAGACAGAGCCTGTAATTTCACAACAAAAAGAAAGGTGTTCCTTGTCACACTGGTACTGATTCACCTCTTATTCAGCCAGTGAAAACAAAAGGAAATAATGTTTTTATCTCCACTGCCCACATTCTGATTCCAGCTGTTGTTTCCTCACTGAGGTAGGAGGCAGTCAGGAAAAGTTCAGCTACTTTATAAGCAATTCTGCTGAAAGAAACGTACAAAAACTTGAGGCCACTTGTTGTTCATGTGCAAAGTCATATTGTGGGGGACAATATACTCAAATAAAGGGTGGTGAGAGAAAGAATAAAGTTACACCACACCCAGCAGACAATACAGTGTCCAAAAACACCAAAGGTTAGTAGTCATTACATTATCAATAGACAGGATGATGTCCCTAAGTTTTCCAACTGCTAAAAGCAGGGATTCACACTGAGCTAGATATTTCTTAAGCAGAACTTAAGAATTTGTAGTGTAAAGTCTCAGAGTCTCAAAAACTTATGTCTTCTGAGAGCTTCTATTTATAGAATCCCTGTCAACAGGACTTGGAGATGATGTGAAATAATCACCAGAGGACAGGATGACAGCAGTCCTGGAGAGCTGCTTTTAATAAAAAGCACAATGTATTAGTCATTTGTCTTTTGAGATCCCAAATCCTCCACTCTAAACTTACCAAGGACAAAACAGTTCCACCCTTTGAGATTTTTTTTTTTAAAGTCTTCCAGATAAGAGCAGTTTAAGAGAATAGAAATTACCTTGCTCTTTAAAGCACAGTTATGTAGTCTATGATAGAGGAAATGAGACACAAAGGTTCAGGCTGCTGCAGGGTTCCCCCTGCCATGTTCCAGCACCTGAACCAGGGGACAAGCTTCTTGCTTTTTCAGAGATAGAGACACGTGTTTCCTTGAAGAACAACTCAGTTGGGGAATATCCCAGAGGCATCTGATACCTTTGGTTCTGCTGTTTAATAACCAGGCTTCAAGTCAGGGTAAGGCAATTTGCATTTAAGAGTAACACAAAAGAGGAAGAACCTCGGGGATTAGTTTGGATCTGGGAGATTTCTCTTGGTGGAGGAAGCTGGAGACCTTTCCTACCTGTAAATCTATAGCAGTAACAACAGTAGATTGAAGCCTCTAATATTATAGCCCAGTCTTCAAATCTGACTCCCAGTAACAATCAGCAGCATCAGGATTAGGAATAAAATTTCTGAACATACACTGAGATTACATAAAGTCAAAAATCCAGGTCAGAAAAAGTTGCAAAACAGTGGAAAGTCCAAGTCTGCAAATTAGAATTTCAGGAACAAACCAAAAAAGCTCACTGTGCTTCATGGACATTTCTCAAGCTTCTGCTTTTTTTTTTTTCCCTTTTATTTTTGCCTTTTTTTTTTTTCCCTCCACCTACTCTGCCTTATCAGACTGACTGAAGCTATGGCCACAACTTCAAATACAGAACAAAACATTCAAACATGCCCAACCATCTTCAAAGGCCAGAAAACTGAATGGCACAATTATTCTGAGGGCAGCAGAGAGATCATTCTTTTAAGAACACCATTCCACCCTGACATGGGTCAATAGATTTGTGACCAGAAGATCAACTTTTCTCAAAGTTCTGTCAGAACTTTAGAGGGGCTCTGGACCAAACTAATCCATTTGCTCATTAGAAAGAGCTGGATGTGTTTCCTTTTCTCCTTCAGGCCTTTGAATCAGAGTTCTGCAAAATACAACAATAACCCAGGTTATACCTCCCATAGGCACTACAAACATTTCTACACCTGCAACAAGGAAAATGTCCTGGGTCTGGCAGAGATGGAGTTAATTTTGCCCAGGACAGCCCTCCCAGTGCTGTGTATTGGTAACTGGAGAGGTGTTGGGAACACTGCTGCTCTGGCTCCTGCTGGGCAGTGCTCCCACAGCAGGGATGCCCCTCCAGCATCCCCCCCTCTCCAGCAGGCTGGGGCTGGGGAGGGGACACAGTCAGGACAGCCAACCCAAACTGACCAAAGGGATATTCCTCTGCTTTTGCTTTTATTAAATTGCCTTTATCTTGACCCTGCAGTCTTTTCCATCTTGTCTTCTCCCACCACCCCGTCCTGCTGAGAGGAGTGACACAGGCCAGCCAGGGCCAGCCCACCACAAGTACTGCAACAGGGCCACAAGTTTAGGTGAGTTTAGAACATGGGAATAACAAGTTCATGTTGTTTAGAAAAGACCATGAAGCCTTACCCTTCAGTCTAAGGCCCTCTTCGTTAACTTGTTTGATTGTTCATACTGAATGTTGTTGGGCAGATTATAAACAAAACAGCTGAAGCGTGTTCTAAGCAGACTACAAACTGCTCAGTTGAATTTAGTCTAATTTAAAAAAATCTTCATATACAGCTATAGATGTTACATAAGCAAGAAATAGGATAGCTCTTGAAACTAATTTCCATAAAACAAGCTGACTGGATCAACTTGCCTCTCCGGTTTTTTTGGCATCTGGCTGTGGGATTACATTAACTGATCGCTATCAGAACAAAAACAACTTTCGATTTATCATTTTATTATGTTCATAATGTGAATTAGGTTAACTGCTACCCAGGCAGTACCAAAACTGTAATTTAATAAATTACCTCGTGAGGATTATCAGATTTCGAAGAGCCTACTGCAGGTGGTGTGAGGAGCAGGTTCACAGCCCACCACCGAGCAGCAGGTTGTTTGGCAGACATTCCTCAGCTGAAAGGACTACAATCATCTCCACTTTGAAGCAAGAGTGTTTTGGAGGAAAAGTTCAAAAGGTGTTTAATTGCCAGACAGTGATAATCCTAAAACTGTCTGTTTTGTTCAGAGACCTGCAGGAAATACCTACTTGACAGATCAAGTCAATTGACCTTCCCTTTCCAGACACCTCTTGCACATTGAAATAACTTTCACAGGAGGAAATGTCAGAGATGTGCAAACAGTAAGGCTGATTTTGCTGAAAATGGCTGATAGGAACACAAACTCGGTTTTCAAGTTTATAAAGGAATATCTATATCAATAACATGGAGAAATAAAGTTAGAGCCTTAACAAATTATTTATATATATATATTCAGGTAAGTAGAGCATATACACAAAGTCTCTCTAATGAATACTGGCTCTAATCACAGAAAATCATTTAAAATCAAAAGCATATAGATCAGAGAAGAACTATCTCACAGTGTTTCCAAGAGTTTATTTCACAGGAATAAAGAATGGCCTTCTAATACTGTTTTCTTTTGCAGGCAGACATAGGGAGAAACACCATCTGAACTGTAGGCCAATTTTTCAATAATAACAAACCCATACATTCCCCATGGTTTACAGTCTCTCAAATATTAAAAACAGATAAACCATAGCTGTAGCCAATCCTTTGCAGCTTTTCACATGACTTAAGCTACATAAAAAGAGCATTCTCCTTTAGATCACAGACATTAGCCAAACCTGTATATTCCTTTGCAAAAGAGTATCACTGTTATAATGAGATCTGGTTTTCTGAACAGAGAAAATAAAAAGAAGTTCAATCAAAGCTCCTATTCAGTGCAAGGATTAAAAATAAAGGAAAAGAATAAACTAGTTATTGCTTTGCCTCTACCAGCCCGACTGTGAAATTTTCATATCCTTTTAAAGATGTATCCGGAACTCTGCAAAAGAAAAACCCACAAATACACACAAGAAAAAAGTACTCACACTGTTTGGGTGTTGAATGGCAACTTGGTGCTGCAGCCTAACCCGCTGTGGCATCATCACATCATCCTGGAATAAATAGCACACTGTTACTGAACATAAAAAGGGTCACAGTACAGTACTGACACACAGCAGAATATGCTGCTAAATTAACATCATTTTACTGGCTTGCAGTCAGAAATGCAAATGGAACAGATATTAAGAGCCTTCACACTTTTCAGGGATTAAACTCAGTGCTGCTCAAGCTGGAAGTGATCAAAACTATGATGTGACAACGGGGCTGGGATCTCAACACACGTCGACAGCACCCACACATTTATTTCTCAAAAACTCCCCAACTCTTGCACAACCCCCAGAGCAGCACTGGCAGTGTCAGCACAGGGAACTAATCTTGATTAAAACCTTGATTTGAGCCACCTCAGCAATACAAGGAAGTGTTCTCTTTAGTCTGGCTGTACCTTGTTTCATTGACAATGACAAGCCTTCGGTGTCTAGATCTAGAAATATGTTATATATCATGAGCACAGAAACTAGCATTTGTGAAATGATAAAATTCTAGAGAAAAAGGAAAAAAGGAAAGTACCCACACTCTTAAAATGCATCAGCATTGGCACTGGCTTTAAACACACCACCTATATTTCGACTTCATGTTAGTACTTCCACTTGTAGCATGAAGATCTGTTTTACTTACATACAGAAAGGTTGCTTTTTGAAGAGTTAGTAACCTTGCATACCTTCCCTGGACAGCTAGGAGAGATTCCTTTCAAAATCATATTATTTCCTGTTCAGAATTAAAGCCTTTCTAGACCATGATTTTACAGTCTATAAAAACTTTAGCCCAAATTCTCTTCCCTAAATTTAGCCTCCTAAGGTTTCTGACTATATTGTTTTCCATTTTGGTGCCATGTTTCCTCCCTTTTAAAGGATCAGACTTTCTTAGATGCTGATGAAAGCTAACACAGCCTATTTCTTCTCAGAATATTTCCAAATAACTTTATCAGGCAAACATGATTCAAAGGAGCCCTGATTTCCTGTTCAACAGCCTCTCTTTTAACAGTTTGTCACTCTGAGGAAATTCCTACTAAAGCCAAAAACCCCAATATGGAATTTGCAACAACTTTCACAATAAAACTTCCCATCAAATCAATGGCAACAAAAATATATATCTTGGTGCTTAAATATCTCAAGCTTAAAGGGTTGAATGACCTTGCTATAAAGGTGCCACTATAGTTTTATCAAAACAACCCATGATGAAAAAAGTTTTAGAAGTAGATCCAACTATTTAATACAATTCAAGGTTAAAGATAAAACAAATGAATAATAAAACTGACCCTTATCACATCCAAGCTTATAAAAGATGGAAGGAATACATTGCCAAAAGCATTTTTCTGTATTTTGTATTTAGGAATATTTAGTAATAAGCATGACAGCTGTTACTGATTTTGAAAGCCCATGGAGTGAAAAAACCCTTCTGATTTCTCAACGTCTGTACATGACTTACATCAAAACTACAACAGAATTATTTACCATTTAATCCACTTTATCAATAAGGCACCAGAATTCCTGTACTTATCCTGTACAAATGTTCCAATAAAACCTTTACTCTATTTCCCAGAAGAACCATAATCCTATTGCCAAATACAGAGCTGATTTTTGTAAATTAAAACCTGGTTTGCACATAAGCAATAGGAGATAACTTTTAACTGAGCCTTGTTCACTCCTTTACAAGTAGCTAAAGATTCTTATATGTCTTCTTGTTAAATGTGGAAAAAAAGAGAGAATGAAAAAGAAATCTACCCAAAAGTATGGAATTTCAATGCTTATAACACTGTTACTATAATCTCTTACAAGATACAAAATATGTGCTAAAAGATTCCACTGTTTATGATCCCTCACAACAGAGAGAAATTTAACAGAACTCATACACAGAGGTGAAAAATAATCTTGATTTAAAAATGTTAAATCAGCCTGGAAGGTATTCAAACCAAATTCAAACATCCCATTCACCAAACAGCTCAATGGCATGTTTTCAGCAGAGGACAATTTGACAGGAGTGGCCTCGTTCCCTTAACAAAACTGTGTCATTTTGGTGCCATTGGCAAAACACACATCGACAGCTCTGGGTCTCAGGCTATCACAGAGCATCAGTGTTCTGCAAACTCCAGCTAAAGAGGGGGCACTAGAACCACAAAAATGCCTCTTTTTATTAATACAGCTTTGTTCTCTAATGTTGGAAAACTCTATGAACTCTTATCCTGAATGACCTTTGGGTTTTTTTATAATTTTGTCTTTTTTTTTTTTTTTATTAATAGCTTTACACATCTGCTGCACTGATGTACTGTTCTGTGCTGCTTCCATGTTCATGAAATGAGAAAGAAAGAAGGGGGGAAAAAAAGAATATAATAGTTAAAGGCATAATCTCAAATAAAATAATACAGGAATCAGGCAATGAGGAAGAACAGCATAAAATACAAGTCACATCCCAGACAAAACTGAGGCACATCAGTCATTCTTGGACTCAGGTTGGGCAACTAGGAAAGAAAGGCAGCTGCAAAATCCACCTTCAACAGATCCTTCACTATTGATGCCTGGGCCAAAGTGGAAAACAGAATAGATTTATAGTGAAATCATCCTAAGTAACGTGGATATATTTGAGACCAGTGTTTAAAAACCAAATTAAAGTCTAATGAGTAAAACCAAAACAATTGTACCACAAAATAAGAGCATTTTAAATTTTTTTTCAACTTCAGAGGCCACTGGTAGGAGTGAGAGGCCCAACCATGCACTGGAGTGATAAGAGTTTATGGAATTTTAGCAACTGTAATACTGGACAATTGAGAAGTTAAAGGTATTTTATCCAGCTGTACATTATGCAATCACAAATACAGTTTTGTTGTATTCATGATATTGAATTCAGAAAAAACGTTACCAGACTTTGGTTTCTACAGTTAGAGTCTGGTTGTCTTATTTTGGTTTAAAACTGAGAACAAAACCTCAGTAATTAGACAAACACTTTCAAAATTATTTTTCACTCCTGTCATGTCAGACAGAAAAAAAAGGGCCTATCCAAATGTAGCCAAAAAAGGGAAGTTTATTTAGTTTGTTTCTGTCTCCTAGGTGAGAGTGGGGAAGATAACAATGCCAGTAGTGAGTTACACTGAATATATAATTTTAAAAGCAGAAGTTTAACAGAAGTTTCTACTGAAATTCAATTTTCTCTGTTTACATGGAAGTTTATAATGGTTGTCCCCTTGCAGATATACAGCAGACAGGATGAAGAGAGAATGAAAGAATGGAAATAACAGGTTTAAAATAAATGCTAGGTAAATGCAAGCCCTCCCTAATCATATACTTGCAATACTGTAGCTAAGTAAGAACGAATCTGTAAAGAAATCTTTTCTCATGTAACCCCACTGACCAAACTTAGCAGAAAAATTTAGAAAAGTCTCAGGTAACAGATGGGTTTGCTGTCACCTAAATATGTTCATCCATGCAAATAAGTCCAAACAGGTACACAGCAGGAAATAAAGCAACAAACAGAAACTTCTCCAGGCACCCAAAATAATGCAGAATTTATAGGAATTTTGGTGATTACAAACATGCTGCTTCTTCTGCAGGAGGAGAACAGGAGCAGGAGAACAATTTGCTGAAAGATGAGGAATGAAAAGGAGTTTATTTCACAGGAGAAGGAAGCAGAGGTCTCAGGGGCAGCCCAGATGAGTTTGTGGCAGTGGGGCCCTGACCCCCAGCACCTCCCAGCCCTGTCTGCTCCTGTCCCATCTCTGCAGACCTGCCCTGCTCCTGCCGAGTTCCACACCCTCAGCTGGGCTGTTCTCCTTCCAACCTCGGGCACCAGGCTTGATAAAAACACACCCAATTTACACTGAGCTAATTGCTTTGTTTCACTTAACTCACATGTTTAGCTGGAGAAAAGCAAAACTAAACCCATAGGCTGAGCTTAAGGACTACTCAAAGCTGCTGCTACTCAAAGCTGCTGCTGTTTCAGGATGGGTTTCTTAAATCAATTTGGATAAAGTCAAATGACAAGCATTCACAACCAGGCTGCCTGCACCACACTGAGCTCCACAGTGATAACTTCACGATTTTCCCTTAAAAGGGGGGGGTTCTGAACTTCAGAAAGTAAAACAAAATATACAGCTCAATGTAAAATACACTTTTGGCACCCAAGGGCAAGTTCATAAAAAATAAGACACTAATTGTAGCTCAGTACTGTAGTGCTTTCTTAGGCTCAAATTACAGACTCAGCATCACAGGCTTTTCCAAATTCCCTTCGTGTTTGGCTGCTCAAAAAAAATAAAATAAAATTGAGACCTGATACCCTCCACCCCCATAACAACATCACCTTCTTTCTGCTGCAGTTATTACACGTAGAACACAACCAGTAGAAGCACCAGGAGGAATGTTTCACTCACTGAGCAACAATATGGCATCTCCAAAGTCTTTCAATCCATCAAATGGTCATTCATTTGTGCTGCACCTGCTCAGACTACAGTGAAAATCTTTCTTTGCTATTGTTCAGTTCAGCTCCTTGAACCAGGGAAATGAAAGGTCTGGGACCTCCAAAGCTTGGCCTGTCAGCAGCTCTACCAAAGCAAATACCCTGATCCCAGGCAGTTCTCCAGGGGCAGGTTTTTAAAACAGCCTCACACTATCAAGCTCATCAAATCAGGCACTCTAATGGCACCCAGGAGTCACCTGAGACTAATGATCTGTCAGTACTTGCAAGATCATAGGAAAAAAAATACTACTTTTCTGTTTCTGCTCCTGAATTAAACTGAGAAAGAAGGGGACAAGAAAGAAAACACTTCAAAGTTTAAGAAGCTGACTGCACTGACCACCTTTCTATTCTTGAGCATGGCAACAAACAGGTCTACATGGAAGACATACAGGTGTTCTTATGAGCCTCACCATATTTTTATGGAATGTTTGAATTCAGCATCACTGCTAGTTGATCAGGACATTTTCAAGGTAGCTCCCACCTCAGTGCATTTGTTCAATAAATGCAGACAATGCCTTTTCATATCTCACTTTTCTGTGGTTATTGGAGTTCACCTTTGATTTTTCTCACA